GCATTTAACATTGGGCCAAGAGCAACATGCAAGTGAGAGAGACACCAATCTTCCCTTTTATAATCAATGTGGGACTTCTTTCTTACACTTGATTCTCACCCCTGAAGTGTGAAGTGTGAGCCTAATACTCTCCCTTCAAGTGGAAGCTCTTTCTTTCATATACACTAAGTCGGTCCCTTCACTAAGTGGCTCTTGATACCAATGTTGGAAGTAATTCGAGAGGGGGGGAGGTCAACATGATGGGACATTTAGCATTAGACCAAGAGCAACATACAAGTGAGAGAGAGAGACACCATATATTCACCTAAAATCTTAAGATGATAGGTGTGTGGGTTCTCTCACTTATAAAGTGTTTAATCTTCCTTTTTCTAATCAATGTGGGACTTCTTCCTCAAACTTGATATGTTCTCTTTTATATATGTAGTGAATATGTGAGAAAATTGGAAAGTCAAAAAAGTTGTCTTTACATGTTTTCATTATAATGCTTACACTTTGTACTGTTAAAATGCAGACAACTTCTGCAATGATGCTCTAATGATGGGATAATTCAGTGTAGACATATTGAAAATGTAGGAACTTCAAAGATAATGATTTCTACTTGGAGTCCATTACTGCTATTGAATGAATAAATGCATCTATGATTATCTGCATTATTTTTTAAAATAATTTTTGCTTGAGACTTTTTGGGTTATTTGGTATTTCTGATTTGTTTCTTTACTTCCATGAGTGAATTTGTCTTACTTCCATGAACTCGATTGGAAAATTTTGAAACTGTAAGTGTGTAATATAAGTTCATGAACTCATTTGGGATTTATGAAACTGTAAGTAGAGAATGAAATAAATTTAAAGAGAAAAAATTGAGAAGAAAATATTTTCTGAAAGTATGGCCTACAATACATCACTCCCTTCATAGCTGGTTGTGGGTCTTCCTTCAAGGTGGTTGTTTCTTCAAAAATGACTGTATCTTCCTTCATGACTACATCTATCTACAGATTGAAATTTTTTTGGTAGTGGGTCTTCCCTCATAGTGTACTAACATGGCAGTCCCAAAAGTTGATAATCTTTATGAAACTATCTATATGCATTAACCATCAGGTTTCTGCAATCCTCAACAGAAACAACACCTTAGGCTAAGTTATGATTGAATATCAAGTTGTGTTTTATTAAGTTGTGATGATAAAGATTTTTATGCTTGTAGATAAAGTTATGCGTTCCTATCTAGAGAGACAACACCTTAGTTCAAGCGGTGTTCGGTGAAGTCTGCGAAGATCTTAAATCAAGTGATTTGTCTGACGATGGAGGTTATCATAAAGAGTTATCCTAAGCCTCATCAGAAGAATATTCAAGGTTTTAGATAATTGATAAAGTAAAAGATAATATGGCAAGGAACCATAATCTTCCGAGTTGTGAAAGAGAGGATATGTGAAAGCTCGACTGTCTATGTTGATTGATCAATGCCTATAAAGATATAAGACAAACTCTTAATTTTACAAAGGAAAATCACACAGACACACACACACAGACACACACTTAAACATCTTAAAAATCCTCACTTGATTTAATAAAATCACATATAAATATTTTTAATGCCTAACAAATTGATTAATAAACTATCTGATCAATTAGAAGCAAGTTTTACAAAAAATAGTCGATTAGGCATTTCGAGTAGTCAATATTTTCACATTGCAACGCCTAAAATTGATTGGAGAGGTTCCTTAAATTATTGGAAAAAGGTGGAAATCAAAACCTTCCATTTTGGGGTGTCAGAATCGATTTATGCACTAAACATAATTGATTATGAGGCTTAATTATCCCATGGATTATTTCCAAATTTATACCTGTTGACTAGGATTTTCGACAAGAACTAAAAATCCAACCAAGATAAAGAATACAAGAAGGTTATTTGAAAAGGTGAAATAATCTAAGTCGACTACAACTACAATCGACCAGAAGAGACCTCTTAAGTAGTTAATAGGGCCTGAAAACGTCAAAAAGCCCAAAGAGTCCAGACCAAGCGAGCGAAGCGCTTTGGATGGAAAATGAGTTTGAGTGGAGAATGTGGGTTCGTGGAGAGAAGTTGCAAAATACATGTGGCGTACAAAGAAACGAAGCTCTCCAGAAAGCAATTATTATATGTGTATTATAAATAAAGCACTTAGTGCATAGTGTTAGGGATTCAAACTTTCACATTCCTATACGCTAGCCACCAAGAGTACCCAAACGAATGAGAGAAATGAGTCAAGCTAGGACAATGTATGTTTGAATCAACTTATTTTCAACTATTTTGATATTCTGTCATTTATGTTTACAGTTTAAAACACTTTTCGTTTTATTTTACAAGTCTTGCTTTATTGCTTATAAATTCATTTGGTACCATTCGAACAAATCCTTTTTGAAAACACTTGAAAACTGAAGCACTGTACTGAGATTCCCTGGTTAATTTCGCAAGTAAACATTTGTTAAGAGATCAATGTTGTTTACTGAAACTAGAGGTAAACAATACCATATTTTATTCTATAAATAGAGGGCTCATATATCATTTCAGATCATCCAGAAAATAGTTTGTTATCATTCTTTATCACTCTTCACTCTTTTTCTACAAATCTCCCATTTCTCACTTTATTTATGGTGTGGAGCAAATTTATAAATTCTCAAAAGTGTATTATCTCTTGTGTGATATTTTTCTAGTAAGAAGGTGTTGTTTGGTTATGAGCTAAACCATTAAAAGATCTTATTTGGTTTTGCGATAAACCATTAAAATCTCCAAGTTAGTTGGGGAGATCTTTGTACTTAAAACTCTCAGTAGATTCGTGAGCTTAACCATATTTTGAAAGCTCTCTATTGGTTTATGATTTTAGCTTATGCTAAAAGCTCTGGTTGGGGAGGCTTTCAATCTTAAAAATTTGTTGTTGGTTATTAAGTTAGCCATTGAAAAACTTTAATCACTATAAAAGGAAGTTCGTGTGCATATCTTGTTAAAAACTCTAAAGATATTGAAAATTCTCAAGAAAAATTCTTAGACAGAGGAGTAAGTCACTTCATTAATATTTAACCTCTATAGTTATGGTGATTTCTTTTATGTCTTAACTCTTTAATTTTCCATATTATAATTTATGCTATTTTTACTCTATTTATTTTATAAAATATTTTTAAACTTCATTTTTGTAAAAGATTTTGTTTTGAATATAGATTTTTCAATCCAACGTAATTCACTTCCACCCCCGGATTGTATTTGGAGTCTCATGTTAAACACTTATTCATCTACCGAGGTAATTATATAGCTTGTATCTTTCTCTATATGGATGACATCCTTCTTATTGCCTCTTTATATTTGTTTCGTCAATCCATAATGACTAAACTTGTCTCCAAATTTTTGATGAAGGATATAGGTCTTCTTAGTTACTTTATCAGTATGTCTGTTATGTGACACGTATGAGACCTTTTTCTATCACAAACAAATACGGCGAGGAAATTATTAAGTACGCATATATGTTTTCTTGCAAATTATATATTATATTAGTTGACACACAAGTCAAACTAAGTTGATCTTCTGGAAATCCATATTCTGCCCCACCCCCAAAAAAAAATATTGTAGTCTTATAGAAACTCTTTAATACATAACTTTTACAAGATTCGATATCACTTATGTCGTGCAACAAATGTGTTTGTTTATGAATGATTCAAAAATACAACATTCAAATGCATCATATGATATCTTCGAGACAATGTATTAATTTTGATATACATCTATGTCATTCCTCCATTGATAAGCTCATCACTTATATTGATGTAGACTAGGATGGAATTCTAAACACTAGAAAATTCAAATCTAGATATTGTTTATATTCTTATTAACAATCAAATTTCTTGGTTTGCGGAACCACAATCTACATTGTCTCGTTCCATTGAAGTCAAATATCGTAGAGTCGATAATTGTAACGAATCATGTTAGATTAGGAATCTTTTTTCGGAACTACATAGCCATGTTTCGAATGCCACATTAGTCTATTGTAGTAACGTAAGCGTCATATCTCTCTCTCTCTAATAATCCCGTTTAAAATCAATACACTAAACACATTGAGATTGATATTCACTTTATGAATAAGAAAGCTACTTCTGACTAAATTCATGTGTTACATGTCGCTTCACGATATCAAATAGTTGACATCTATATTAAGAGTTTTTCTCGACAACTGTTTGATAATTTTCGACTTAATCTCAAGATCCGACAACCTTCAATTTTAAACAAGGAAATGTATTAAAATATATAAATGTTATATATTTAATATATATATTCATCTGTGTTTGTTTTGTAAACCAAAGATTCTCGTTACAATTTAATAACGTTTTTAAAAATATGAAGGTAAATATTCTCTTACAAGTCTATCGTAAAAAAAACTTGGATACTCTCATTCCTCTATTTCCTCACTTTCAAATAAACGCAAATGTAAGCAATAGAATTGACTCTAATTTGACTACAACATTTGTGATGCTTTTGGACCTTTGTTATTTGTTACAAAGAATTTTTCTATTAAATTCGACGAATAAAGGAAACGGCTTACTATAGTAACTATCCACACATAAAGAATAATATAGCAACTTATTTATGACAATAAAAAAATGTAACATTACATCAATAGCAACATTGAGTTTCATTTTATTTCGCAATCTTTTTTTCCCTTTCCTTTATTAAACTCTTAGATTACAAAAAGAGACACTTTGGAAACTTTAACTACGGTTTCTTTTGCTCTCATTCTAGTATTGACATGTATACCATGTTTAGAGATTATAACCTAAAAAAAAAGTGATTCACTTTAAAATATAAATAAATCTTAAGTCCTATCAAAAACTAATCAAAACTAATCGGAAATATCCATATATCTACTACTGCGAGTTAAGTCGGCTTAAAATAAAGATAGTTTGACAATGATTCGAATCACTCTATTCAACCATTTTATAACCTATAAGTCTTACGACTCATGAATTATTTATCACGATTTCTATATTATGAGTGAAGAATCCTCATCTAGCTTGGGTTTCCAAACAGAAAATGTGGCCAAAGCTCTACTCTTCCATGCTAAATAAAGAGCAACATCTGTTTGTTCAATCCTATAATTCTCATTGAACTCCTTCAACAGATTTGTAACCGAAGCTGTCACCGACGGACTCAACGGTAACGGAACAAAACCCGCCATTAATAATCTTGCCTTCCACTTTCCAAACATTTCATGTCTTTCCACTCTCTCATTCCCCTCACAAGCTATCATGTTAACGATATCTCGTGCGACGCAATGCTGTTCTACACTTATCCTTGTCTTATCATCTCTAGGGAGAGCCACATCGATTGATTCAAACATAGCCGTGTAATAATTCATAGTCTCGACAAACCTGTGAAAAAACGGAGAAGTGTTTGTGTTTGATTCTTGCTCCACAAGTAACACAACCTTAGGCGACAAACTCTTAACCAATCTCAAAAGCCGGTCTCTATGATTCTCCGTGCTCACACTCTCGTCCGGCATGTGATGCAAAGTAAAAGGAAAATTCACAGCCAGAGCTTCGCCATTTTGAAGTACAAAATCTTTTTGCTGAACCTCGCATCCAAACATTGTAACACTATTGAACTCAAACGGAATTCCACAAGTTTTAGCGTAATCCATTAGCTTTTTTCCTACGATATCAAGTCCTCCGCCTCTAGCGTGAAGCGATTGGAAATCATCGACACCTGTTACACGAATAAAAGGAGGCCTGCCCGGTCTACGCGCGAGAGCCTCCATGAGTGACAACCACTGTGTTCCCTGTGCAATTTGGAAGTCGATTATGTGAATTCTCGACTCATTTTTCATAGCTTCCGAAATGGCAACATTGGAAGTTAAGTAAGCAAACTTCCAATAAGGGCAAATCTGATACAATATATACATATAACTCATCAATTCTTTGCTTGTTGGTTCTTCACACTTGAACGATTTATAAATCGCGCTCCCCGACGATTCCAACCTCGCTCTTAAACCTTCTAACATATAAGCACCTAATCTTTGACTAGGTTCACCGCCGACCGATACCATCTTTTCCAGCACATTGTTCATGAATCCCAATGCCGTTGCAATATCATCATCAGAAACAGCTTGTGCACATTTAATAAGTATTTCCTTCAAATCCATCTTTGGAATCATTTCTTGAATCTCACCCCAATTATATCGAGACACACCGTTCGAGAAGCTCTGACAGCTGTCGACGATATCTGACTCGGGACCTAACAACGAAATCTCCAATTCTCTGAGTTTTTTTTTCAACTCAAATCTATCATCATCAACAACAACACTAGAGGCGGAATCCTGAGAAAGTTGCCGAGAAAAAGGACTTCTGATGTTGGACGAAACACTAGCGGATGAAGGAGACTCAAAAGCTAAGAAATCGGAATTTGGTTGAGATGATTCCAAGGTAAAGAATTTTTTCTCCTTGTTGCTTGTTCCGAAAGAAACATTGGTTCCATGACTACTACCAAGACATGATGAATTGCTTTGTAATATTTTGTAATGACTGTTGTATGAATCAGTTGGTTTCATAAGCTGGTGTTGGTATAGATGGTTACCAGCTGAATTTGATTGTTCTTGAGAAGTTGGCATCTAAAATTCAATTACTTACGCTGCAGAAAAAAGTGATTAATTATCACACTAACTAGTAGTACTTCACCTTAGTAAAAACTGCTTCTGAACTGTTTCAGCTAATAGATACCTGCATGCATAATAAGATGGTAGAAAATCATTAAGCATTCATTGAAGTATCAATGCATAATTAGATTACAATCTATGCAAAAAAATTAAGGTCACTTACGGCTTCGTTCAAAAGAAAACGGATTCTATGTACTCCGAGTACTAACTTACTCAATACTAATCGGATCATATGGTAAAAATCTCTTTCAATTTAATAAGAAATTCTGAGTTTGAATTCAATCCTGATCAGTATTAGAAAGAGAGTCTTACATACTATTACGATCATTCTTTGCTCGTATAGTCTCACGCAGAATATATCATATTTATATATATATATATACCAACTATAATAAGATTAGCAATAACTTCTAAAAATTCATCTAGTATTAATAAATAAAAATTGTACTACATAACTAGTGAAAAAAATAAGAGATAATTGCAACCGAAAGCACATAAAAGAACAAAAACAAGTCTTTATTCCTTATTCCCTAGAAACAACTTTTGAGCAGATTTAGAACACAATTCACTTTACACTATCTAGATTGGTAACATAATCTAAAAGTAAAAAGTAAAAATAAAAAATAAAAATAAATAAATAAAAAAAAAAGAGAGAAAACGTGTGACAAGCATTATCATTTCAGAAAAAAGAATCATAAGTTTGCTAACCAAAAAAAAAAATTTAATATGGTCCACAAAAAATTTAAATTCCAAACACTAATTTTATGTAGCAATTTGTTACATCAATGTTGACACAAATAAACAACACTTATATCGTATTTATATACGTTTTCTTTTAATGTTTGGTAATGTATTTTATGTAAACTATACTATACAGAATTTCCACAACTAATTTTAAAACTCGCATGTAACAAAAAAATAATTGAATAATAGATATGAATTCTAGAACATAATTAGTCTGAAAAAAACAAAAACACGAAAAGCTTCTACAACAAACTGGAACATTAAAAACAACCTGAAATGTCACCTTATACATGATATATCAGACACAAAATGTTAGAATATGGGAAATAAAACCCAATGTTATTTACATAATTTGAACACACTCAAACCTTAAACTCATTCCAACAAAACATAAACCTTAAACAAACAAAAGCTGGAAAACAACAGAACATACCTTTTGTTTGGAGCAACAGATTTCAGACTCAGAAATAGTTGATGCTTTCAGTTATATGTTTTGTGACAGAGATTCTGCAACAAAACAGTGGTTTAGAGAGAGAGAGAGAGAGGAGGGGGTTATAAACTGTTTCAAGAGACTGAAAACGATGGATTGGTAATCTGTGAGCGTTGATGTAATAATCAAGTAATTTACTTTTACTTTTATATATTATTATAAATAAATCATAGTATTATAATCATAATTCTTGACTTCAATATATTTTAATAGTACTAGTAATAAAATAAAAGTATTAACCTAATAAGTACTAATAAAGAAAATTTTATGGTATAAATGTCCCGTTTAGAAGTGATAATTACATTATGACACTGGGTGGGTGGGGTCTGCATGCTACAGAGTATTTAATTAACAAAATGGAATGTTCTAGCTTCTAGAACGATTAAAGTAGAGTATTAGTACTCTTTATCTTTATCTTTTTTCTTTTTGATTATTATAAACCAAATATACACGTGGCTAATTGAGAACACTAAATTTGTGAAATCAATATTTAAAAATTGGACTAGCTATCAAATCAATAAGGTTATTAAATTATTGGTTTGTTGACGGAACTATTGAATCATTGATTGAATTATATAATTAAATTGAATTAAATCGATTGAATAAATTAATTTTTATAGTAAAATTACATAATTATTAAATATTAGATAACTCTATTATTAAAATAATTAGAATACTCGTAACATTTTAAAATTTTAAAATATTATAATTTTATAAGTTCATTATTTAAATTTTAACATAGTCATTATATTTTAACAGTAAAAAAATATAAATTTTAATAAGTTTTAAAAAAATTTAATTCTAATATAAATTGAATAATTAAATAATAAATTTATTTTCAAAGAAAAAATTATTTCAAATAAATTTTAATCAAAATTTATTTATTTAATTTATTTATAAAATTATCAAAACCTCATAGTTTTGCTTGAAAAATAAATAAATAAATTTGTCGATTTTTTAAAATTGTTAATTTGTTAATTTTTATTGATTTTGATCGATTCTAATTAATTCTTACCAATTCAATAATTTATTCTATTCTGCAATTATGTTAGATTGATTATTCTTCCAATTTCCAATTCAACTGATTTAGTTGATCTATCTTATTAGGTTTTTCAAACACTATGAAATTAGTATCTAAAATGATAAAATTGTTTAGTAATTAAAATTAATGATAATTCTCCCCAACAAGAATTGATGATAATTATTATAAAAACTATCTATGTGCTATGATGTAAATTTAATCTACAACTTTTAGTTTTTAGTATTTAGTGAAAATTTAATCTTACGCGGATGCATTTTATCTAGATTGAAGGTTAAATTTAAGATCTAGAAGTAGCATTACAATCTTATCTGAATCTTATTATTTAAATTGTATATAATTAAAAAAAAAATCGTTTCTATATAATTAAATTTTTGCAAAGGTGGTGAACATTCATTTATAAAATAAAATAAAAAATTTTCATCACGTCTAATAAATCTTTACCTTCTACTCCCTCCATTCCCTTTTATAAGAAAATTTTGACTTTTTAGATTTATTAAATAAATGATGTATTTAGACTATATATTGATTAGATACATCAATTATTCAATAAATCTAAAAAGTTAAAATTTTCTTATAAATAGGAATGGATTCTATAACTCGACGTCTCGTTTTCGAGAGTGATTTGAGTTTTTAAAAAATATTTAGAGTCTATTTGATAAGATTAAAAATTTAATTTTTATGTTTTAAAATTTTAATTTTTCAACTTATATTAATAAAATAGTTTCATTTAATAATTGTCTTGAATTTGTCTTTTGTAGTTCTCTTTACTAGTTTATGACTTTTTCTTTAACTATTCGAAGTAACTTTTAATTTTTATAATTTTTAATTTGTCATTTTTTCTATTTTTATTTTTATTATTTTAATCATTTATTCATTTTTTACAATATTTCTATTTGGAGTACTATTTAATACATGAATAGAAAAAGTCATATTTTATATCTAAAAAAAGTTGTGAATCTTTTGTTACAATTTTTTCCTCAGTCGATTTTATTCAACTATTTTCTAATCTCTTTTCCGTTGATTCCAAGTAGCTTTCTATTAGTGCTTACTCCTAAGATCAACCCAAATGTAAAGTAAGTGATATGAAATATTTGAGGATTTAAATATCTCTTAAATGTTAAATAATAAATATATCTTAAATGTTAAATAATAGGCATCAATATATATTATAAATAAACATTTCATAATTCTATACTTAAAAACCTTAGCAGAATAATGAATCGTGGACGGTCGAAGAAGAAGGCGATGATGAGGGGTACTTTATCATTAGGTTTAAGTCAAGAGAGGACGGAGATGTTATTTTGATCAGAGGCCCTTATACAATCTACTGCAAATCTATTTTCTTATACGAGTGGACACCTGGATTTAAGCTAAAGGATGACATACTCTGAATTCTATCTATATGGGTTATCTTTCCCTGACTACCTTTAATCTATTGGGGGAGACTAGCATTGGTAAAATCACGAGTGTTATAGGAAAACCATTGATGACATATGAATGCACAACTAAGAAATTGCAGGTCTTTTATACTCGAGTACTCATTAAAGTGGATGTAACAACATAGCTAAAAACTTCTATCACCATTCAAGATCCTAAAGGAAACAAAATGATTTAGCAGGTTGACTATGAATGGAAGCCAACTTTTTACAAAATATGCAACAAGGCGGGGCATGATTGTAAAAAGAAAGAGCAGACAAAGAAAAATCAAGTTTGGGCCCCCAAGCAAGATAGCAGTCAAAACATCAAGGAAAATGAAACTGTCAAAGGCAAGGATGAGGAACTGGTGGTGCTGGACCATGGCAAGAAGAAAGTGATCGGAGAGTGAAATTCTGGAACTTGCAACACATGTTAATACTGATGACCTAACATCAGAACACAATGTTAACACAAATATTGAGACATTTGTTCCTGATACAGAATAATATCAAAATGTAAAAATAAATTGTAAAATAATAAATAACACAGCAGATTGTTAACCCAGTTCAGTGCAACGTCACCTACTTTGAGGGCTACTAAACCAGGAAGGAAATTCACTATGATAGTACTAGTTTAAAGCCTAAACAGTATCAATTTACAACTTCTCGCCTAATCACTACTTTGTGCAACTTCTACCTAGAAATCACCATCTAGATATGAGATCCACCTCTCACTTTTAATCACCGCAGTGATACCTACAACCACAAATCTTGTGACTAGACTTAAAACCAAAAGAAGATTACACTTCAAATAAAAAATAGTCAACTCCTTGCTTAAAAGCTCATGAGTGAGAACGACATTTAGTCTTGCTTAAAAGCTTCAACTAAGAACAATAACTTGATAAACAATCAAGTAGAAATAACTTGATAAACTATCAAGTAACAAACTATCTACCACACTGTATCAAAAGTTACATGGGTGACTTACAAAAACCACAAGAGACTCTTAAAGCCAAATCTTAGACTTCCTCTAATTTTACAATTGTGAAAGTTAAATTACATTAGATCTAGGGTTCTCTTTAAATACTCCTCAACATTCCATGGGTTTCGAAATCTTCATCCAAATATTCCTTAATCCACAAGCTGAGGGTTGCACCAATATACATGAAAATCTCCTTAAATCTTGGAACAAATATTCAAGTATCCTAAATTGTCTCAACATCCGAGTTTAGAAATTTTAATGTTGTTGGAGATTTGATTCACT